GCTCTCCATATCTTCCTATTCTTTGTAATTCATAATAATGTTTGTTAAGTAGGTAGGGAGTTCGCGGACGCATCAGAAGTATGCGATATTTTGTCAAAAAATAAATAAATAAAAAGAAGAAAAACCTGCATTCAATAATAATAATAATAATAATAATAATTCTTAACTGGACCATAACTGACATTAAGTAGATGGACGCCAAAACGAGAAAGCTTCTCACCTGCTACCGTATGCATCATCCCAAGGCTGATGTTGATCGTCTGTATGTGCCCAGATCCAAAGGAGGAAGAGGATTAGTTCAACTAGAGCAGTCTTACAACTCTACTACAATTGACCTTCGAAGACACCTAGAAACTATAGAATACAGGATGATGATCTGTGTCAAAAGAACTTAAAAGTAATAAGCGACTTTCTTCAGTAATAAAAAAGCCAACAAGTTCAAAATGGAGTTTCAAGTGGGTGAAAAAATACAAGCATAATACACCGACTGAAGCTACAAAATAATTAAAAACGAAAGCAAAGGTAAATGCAACCGACCAGATACAGAACCATGGCTAGATAAACCGCTTCACGGTCAATACTCTGACCGTACCAAAAAAGCTGATGTAGACAAACCCCGTACCCATCAGTGGCTACGTATTGCTGGGTTAAAAGCTGAAACTGATGGTTTTACTCTTGCGCGCAGAACCAATGCTTGTTAATGAGAAATTACCAAACATAGATACTGAAAAATTGTTAGTCCAAAATGCAGATTCTGTGATAAATATCCAGAAACAGTTGACTATCTTGTATCAGGTTGCATGGTATTGGCACCCACAGAATATAAAACACGGCACAACAGAGCGGGCTAATATCTGCACTGGAAAATCTGCAACACTTACGGAAAGGAAACTTCAAGAAATCGGTATGAACACCACCCAGACTCGGTTACCGAGATATAGGACCTGTAACAATTTTATGGGACTTTATAATGTACACATACAGAACAATGAAAGCTAATCTTCCTGACATCGTGATTAGAGACAGCAAAGACAAAATGTGCCTCCTTATTGACATGGCAATCCCTGCAGACTGTAATGTATCTTTGAAGATCTACAAAAAACGATCAAAGTACAAGGACATTGAAATCGAAATCTCAAAAATGTGGCGCATGATGACATTAACAATTTCAGTTGTAGTTGGAGCCATCTGATCGAATGAAAAAGATTCCAATAGATTCATTAAAGAAATCCCTGGTAGATCATGCCTTAAAGAAATACAAAAGATTGTACTCAAAGTACAGCCCACACCTTACGAAAGGCTTTATCTATATAAAATACGTGCAATTTTTTTTTCTCAAAACTGTTCAGTTGAAAATGCCATGCTGCCATTTCTGACCTTAGGTCTCTGGTTGGGATCCGGAATAAAATGAGTATACACTAGAAGCCAAAGGAAATAAAACAACAACAACAACAACAATAATAATAATAATAATAATAATAACTAGTTTTAACCCCGTGAAAATTTCACGAATTTCCTATTTTAATATTTTGATGAATCTTAATTCTTAAGTTAATGATTGAATAATCTGTAGAAATTCCCTTATCACGCGGTTCAATATTTGAGCTTAACAACTTTAAGAAAATGTTGCAAGAATAATCATAAATGTGCATGCTGATCGTTAGTTTAAGAAGTAAGCGGGTACAAATGAAAAGATTTAGAATTGACAACTTTTCTCATTTCGCTGAAGTATATGGTAAACACTGCTATCTTCCTTGTCTTTCTTTCTTTCTCACTGAAATAAGGTAGTGTCTTTCCCCATCTTACACCGCGTTCAAATTTATGAGGTATTGGTAGGAGACATTAAATACTTTTATCTTCTCTTCTCTTCTTTCTTTCTTTCTTTCTTTCTTTCTTTCTTTCTTTCTTTCTTTCCACACGATCAAAAGAAATAGTCCATTATGTATGAGATATTGGCAAGGCGTAACGGTTGTGCGAACTAACAAAGGAAATGAGGAGCTATTATAATAGGATTTTTGTTTGTTTTTATTCTTTGAATTTATTTATATTTATTTTTTAGTTAGGATAAGAAAATAAAGGGGACAAGTTTTTTAAGGAAAGAAAGGGGACAGTATTAAAATATATAAAAGGCTTAATTAAAGCCGATATTTTAAAAAATAACAAAATAATATCTTTTACAATGTCAGAAACAAAGATGAGTGAGTGTAAAATGACTATTTTCAGCTGCCCGTGAGTAACACCGTGTATGGATCTCGTACAAAAGCTAATCATTCATAACAATTGCCGCGTTTTGGGGATTTTCTCAATGGAAACATCATGAACACTCATTCCACAAAGCGTGACTCACAAACGTCAGTCACCATGACGACCTTACATTGGAATCTACTCAGGCAAGTCATACTGTGCCTTATTTTAGAAAAATGGCTATTGTTAAAGAATTTCCCGGAAACCAGTTGAAGAATTAATCATTTTTGTTTTGTTTCTCTGATTTTTTTTTTTTTTTGGTACTTTTACTTTATTTTTTGGTCATTTCCTTTTCTCCTGTTTCTCTCTCTCTTTCTTTTTGGCTTTATTTTTCTCTTAATTTCCTTTTCTCCTCCTTTCTCTCTCTCTCCTTCTTTTTTGCTTTTTTTTCTCTTAATTTTCCTTTTCTCCTCCTGTTTCTCTCTCTTTTTTTTTTGGCTTTATTTTCTCTTTATTTCCTTTTCTCCTCCTGTTTCTCTCTCTCTCTTTTTTTTTGGCTTTTTCTCTTAATTTCCTTTTCTCCTCCTGTTTCTCTCTCTCTTTCTTTTTGGCTTTATTTTTCTCTTTATTTCCTTTTCTCCTCCTGTTTCTCTCTCTCTTTCTTTTTGGCTTTATTTTTCTCTTAATTTCCTTTTCTCCTCCTGTTTCTCTCTCTCTTTCTTTTTGGCTTTATTTTTCTCTTTATTTCCTTTTCTCCTCCTGTTTCTCTCTCTCTTTCTTTTTGGCTTTATTTTTCTCTTTTCTTTCCTTTTTCTCCTCTCTTTCTCTCTCTCTTTCTTTTTTGGCTTTATTTTTTCTCCTTTTCCTTTCTCTCCTTCTGTTTTCCTTTCTCTCTTTTTCCTTTTTTTCCCTTTATTTTTATCTTTTCTTTATTTCCCTTTCTCCTCCTGTTTCTCTCTTTTCTTTTTTTTTCCTTTATTTTTTTCTTTATTTCCCTTCCTCTTTTCTCCTCTTTTTTTCCTCTCTCCACTCTTTTTTGTATCTTTTTCTTTATTTTTCTCTTAATTTTCCTTTTCTCCCTCCTCCTTCTCTCTCTCTTTTTCTTTTTTCCTTTATTTTTGTATCTTTTCTTCCTTTTCTCCCTCCTGTTTCTCTCTCTCTCTTTCTTTTTTGGCTTTATTTTTCTCTTTATTTCCTTTTCTCCTCCTGTTTTCTCTCTCTCTTTCTTTTTTCCCTTTTATTTTTCTCTTTATTTCCTTTTCTCCTCCTGTTTCTCTCTCTCTTTCTTTTTTTCTTTTTTTTTTCTCTTTATTCCTTTTCTCCTCCTGTTTCTCTCTCTCTTTCTTTTTTCCTTTATTTTTTCTAATTTTCCTTTTTCTCCTCCATTTCTTTCTCTCTCTCTTTCTTTTTTTCTCTTTCCATTTCCTTTGTTCCTTTTTCTTCTCTGTTTCTCTCTTTTTTTTTGGCTTTATTTTTCTCTTAATTTTTTTCTTTATCCTCCTTTTCTCTCTCTCTTTCTTTTTGGCTTTATTTTTTTCCTTCATTTCCCTTTTCTTTTCCTGTTTCTCTCTCTCTCCCTTTTTCTTTATTTTTCTCTTTATTTCCTTTTCTCCTCTGTTTCTCTCTCTCTTTCTTTTTTGGCTTTATTTTTCTCTTTATTTCCTTTTCTCCCTGTTTCTCTCTCTTCTTTCTTTTTTCCTTCCCTTTTATTTTTCTCTTTATTTTCCTTCCTTCCCTCCATCCATGTATCTTTTCTTTAATTTCTTCCTTCTCTTTCTTTTTTTCTTTATTTTTCTCTTTATTTCCTTTTCTCCTCCTTATTTCTCTCTCTCTTTCTTTTTTGTTTCTTTATTTTCTTCCCTCTTTTCTCCTCCTGTTTCTCTCTCTCTTTCTTTTTGGCTTTATTTTTCTTTAATTTCCTTCCTCCCCTGTTTCTCTCTCTCTTTCTTTTTTCCCTTTTTTTTTCTCTTGTATCTTTTTTTTTTCCTCCTGTTTCTCTCTCCATGTATCTTTTTTTTTTCCCTTCTTCCCTTTCTCCATTATTTTTCTTTTCTTCCTCTCCTTCTCTCTTCCATCTCTTCTTTTCTTTATTTTTTCCTCTTAATTTTCCTTTTTCCCTTTTCTTCCTCTCTCTCTTTTTCTTTTTTTCCCTTTTCCTTTTCTCCATGTTAATTTCCTTTTCTCCTCCCTCTTATCCATGTATCTCTCTTTTTCCCTTTGGCTTTCCATTTTTTTCTTTCTTTCCTTTTCTTCTCCTCTTTTCTCTCTCTTCATCTTTTTTTTCCTTTTATTTTCTTTTTTTCCCTTTCCTTCTTATCCTGTTTTTCTCTCTTTTCCTTTTTTTGGCTTTATTTTTTCTTTCTTTCCCTTCCTTTTCCTCTCCTGTTTTTCTTTTATTTTTCCTTTTGGCCATTATTTTTTCTTTATTTCCCTTTTTCCCTCTTCCTGTTTCTTTTCTTTCTTCCTTCCTTCTTTTTTTCTCTTTTTTTTATTTCCCTTTCTCCTCCTGTTTCTCTCTCTCTTTCTTTTTTCCTCTTTATTTTTCTCTTTCTTTCCCATTCTCCTCCTGTTTCTCTCTCTCTTTGGTTTTTATTTATTTTTCTCTTTTCCTTCCTTTTCTCCTCCATGTTTTTTGTTTCTCCCTTTTCTTTTTGGCATTATTTTTCTCTTTATTTCCTTTTCTCCTCCTGTTTCCATGTATCTCTCTTTCTTTTGGCTTTCATTTTTCCCTTTTTCTCCTCCTGTCCATCTCTCTTTTTTTTTTCCCTTCTTTTTCTCTTATATTTCTTTTCTTTTTTCCTTCCTCCCTCTTATCCATGTATCTTTCTCTTCTTTTTTTTGGCTTTATCCATGTTCTTTTTTTTATTTCCTTTTCTCCTCCTCCATTTCTCTTTCTTTTTTCCCTTTTTTATTTATCTTTCTCTTTATTTCCCTTCCTCCTCCTGTTTCTCTCTTTCTTTTCTTTTTTAGCTTTATTTTTCTCTCTTTTTTTTATTTCCTTCCTTCCCTCTCTCTCTTTTTCTTTTTTCCTTTATTTTCTCTTTATTTCCTTTTCTCCTCCTCCTTCTCTCTCTCTTTCTTTTTTTTTTTTCCTTCCCTTTTTTTCCTTTTCTCTTTTTGTTTCTTCTCTCTCCTTCCTCTTTTCCATTTATCTTTTCTTTATTTCCTTTTCTCCTCTCCTGTTTCTCTCTCTTTTTTTTTTTCTTTATTTTTCTCTTTCTTTCCTTTTTTCCTCCTCACTTCTCTCTCATTATTTTTCTTTATTTTCCTTCCTTCCTTCTCTCCATGTAACTTTTCTCTCTTCTTTTTTGGCTCTCCATTTCTTTTTTTATTTCCTTTTCTCCTCCTCCATTCTCTTTTTTTATTTTTTCTTATTTTCTCTTTTTCTTTCCTTTCTCCCCTCCTGTTTCTCTCTCTCTTTCTTTTTCCTTTATTTTTTCCTTTATTTCTTTTTTCCTCTCCCCTCTCTCTCTTTTTTTTTCCCTTTTTATTTTTCTCTTTCTTTCCTTTTTCTCCTCCTGTTTTCTCTCTCTTTCTTTTTTCCTTTATTTTTCTCTTTATTTCCTTCCTCCCTCCTTTTCTTTCTCTCTTTCTTTTTTCCTCTTTTTCTTTATTTTTCCTTTCTTTTTTATTTCCTTTTTGGCTTTCTTTTTTTCTTTTTTTCTTCTCTCTTTTTCTTTTTTCTTTATTTTCTCTTCCATTTTTTTCTCCTCCTTAATTTCTCTCTCTCTTTCTTTTTTCTCCATGTCTTTTTCTCTTTATTTCCTTTTTCTCCTCCTGTTTTTCTCTCTCTTTCCTTTTGGCTTTATTTTTTCTCTTTCTCATCCATGTATCTTTTCTTTTCTCCTCCTCTTTCTCTCTTTTCTTTCTTTTTCCTTTATTTTTCTCTTTTCTTTTCCTTTTCTCCTCCTGTTTCTCTCTCTCTTTTCTTTTTTTTCTTTCCCTTTCCTCCTTTATTTCCTTTTTTCCTCCTTCTCCCCTTTCTCTCTCTTTTTTCTTTTTCCCTCTCCATCTCTCTTTTCTTTTTTTCTCCTCCTGTTTTCTCTCTCCTTTATCTTTTTATTTTTCCTTTTCTCTCCCTCCTGTTTCTCTTTCTCTCTCCTTCTTTTTCCATGTATTTTATTTTTCTCTTTATTTCTTTTCTTTCCTCCTTCCTCCTCTCTCCATTTCTTTTTGGCTTTATTTTTCACCCCTCTTTTCCTTTCTTTTCTTCCTTTGTCTTTCTCTCTCTTTTCTTTTTTCTTTTCTTTTCATTTTTTCTTTATTTCCTTTCCTCTCTCTCATCCATGTTCTCTTTTCTTTCTTTTTCCTTTCCCTCTTTTTTTTTTTTTGCTTTATTTCTTCCTTCCATCCCTCTTCCTCCTGTTTCTTCTTTCCCTTTTCTTTCTTTTTTATTTTATTTTCTCTCATCCATTTTTTTCTTCTCCCTTCCTCCTTTTTGTATGCTTTTCTCTCTCTCTTTCTTTTTTTTCCCTTCTTTATTTTTTTTCTTTTATTTCCCTTCCTTCCCTTTCCTTTTCTTTTCTTTATTTCTCTTCTTTCTTTTTGCCATTATTTTTTTCTTTGTTTCTTTTTTCCTCCTCCTGTTTCTTTCTCTCTCTTTCTTTTTTTTTATTTCTTCCTTTATTTCCCTTTTCTCCTCCATGTTTTTCTCTTTCCCTTTCTTTTTATCCATGTATTTTTTTCTTTATTTCCTTTTCTCCTCCTGTTTCTTCTTTCTTTCTCTCTCTCTTTCTTTTTCCCTTCCTTTTCTCTTTATTTCCTTTTCTCCTCTCATCCATGTTTCTCTCTTTCATCCATTTTTTTCTTTTTTTATTTTTCTCTTTATCCATTTCTTTTTCTTTGTTTCCTCTCTTTCTCTCATCTTTTTTTTTTATTTTTTCTTTATTCCCATTCTCTCCTTTCCCTTCTCCCCTCTCTCTTTTTTTTTTTGGCTTTATTTTTTCTTTCCATTTCCTTTTTTCCTCCTTCCTTCCCTCTCTCCATTTCTTTTTTTATTTTTTCTTTTTTCCATTCTTTTCTCCTCCTGTTTTTCTCTCTTTCTTTTTTCCTTTATTTTTTCTCTTTATTTCCCTTCTTTCCTCTTCCATGTTTTTTTCTTTTTTTCCTTTTTTCCTCTATCCATTTTTCTTTTCTTCCTTTTCCTCTCATCCTGTTTCTTTTCTTTCTTTTTCTTCCTTCCCTTTATTTTTCTTTTTTTTTTCCCTTCCTCTCCTCTTATCCATCTCTCTTTTCTTTTTTCCTTTCTTATCCATTCTCTTCTTTATTTCCCTTTTCTCCTCCTTTTTTCCTCTCTCCATGTATCTTTTTGGCTTTATTTTTCTCTTTTTTCCTTTTCTTCCTCCTCTTCCATCTCTTTTTCTTTTTCCTTTTTTCCTTTATTTTTTCTTTATTTCCTTTTCTTCTTATCCATTTTTTTCTTTCTTTCCATTCCTTCCCTTTATCCATGTATTTTTCTTTTTTTTCCTTCCTTTTCCTCCTTTTCTTTCTTTTCCCTTTCCTCTTTCCATTATCTTTCTTTGGCTTTCTTTTCATCTTATCTTTTCTTTTTTCTTTCTTTTCTTTCTTTCTTTCCTTCTTCCCTCTTATCCATTTTTTTTTCCCTTCCTTCCCTCATTTCTCTTTATTTTTCTCTTTCTTTCCTTTTTCCCCTCTTTTTCCATGTTCTTTTCTTTTTTCCCTTTTCCCTCTCTCCATGTTCTTTTTCTTTTTTCCTTTTTCCCTCTTTTCCATTATCTTTTCTCTTTCCCTTTCTCTCTCCATTTCTTTTCTTTATTTTTCTTTTTCTTTTTCTTTTTTCCTTCCTTTCTCTCTCTCTTTCTCCTTCCTTCTTTTTTTTTTTCTTCTTCCTTCCCCAAAATCCTTTATTTTCCTCCTCTCCATGTCTCTTTTTCTTTTTATCTTTATTTTTCTTTTATTTCCCTTTTCCCTCTCTCCATGTTTTTTTCTTTCTTTCTTTTTTGGCTTATCCATGTATCTTTTTCTTTATTTCCTTCCTCCCATGTATCTTTTCCTTCCTTCCTCTTCCATTATCTTTTTTTTTTTTCCTCCCTCTTATCCATTTATTTTATCTTTCCTTCCTTCCCCTTATCCATGTATCTTTTCTTTATTTTTCCTTCATCCATTCCTTTTTTCCTCTCTCCCAATCTTTTTCTTTTTTTCCTTTTATCCATCCTTTATTTCCTTTCTCATCCATTTTTTTTTCCCCTTTCATCCATCCATGTATCTTTTTTTTATTTCCCTTCCTCCCCTCTCTCATCCATGTCTTTTCTTTCTATTTCCTTCCTTCCTCCTTTTTCTTTTTTTTCCCTTCTTTCTCTCTTTCTTTTCTTTAAGTTCCTTCCTCTTATCCATGTATTTTTTTTTTTTCCCCTTCCTTCCCTCTCATCCATGTATCTTTTTTTCTTTCCCTTCCTTCCCTCTTTCCATGTATCTTTTCTTTTTCCTTCCTCCCCTTATCCATGTATTTCCTTCCTCTCCCTCTCATCCATGTCTCTTTTCTTTATTTCCCTTCCTTCCCTCTTATCCATGTCTTTTCTTTTTTTCCCTTCCTTTTGGCATCCATGTATCTTTTTTCTTTTTTCCCTTCCTCCCCTCTCATCCATGTTTCTCTTTCTTTCTTTCCTTCCTTCCTCTCATCCATGTATCTTTTCTTCCTTCCCTCTCTCCATGTATCTTTTCTTTATTTCCCTTTTTCCCCTCTCATCCATTATCTTTTTCTTTATTTCCTTCCCTTCCCATCCCATTTATCTTTCTTTTTTTCTTTCCCTTCCTTCCCCTCTATCCATGTATCTTTTTTCTTTATTTCCTTCCTCCCCTCTTCCATGTATCTTTTTCTTTTATCTTTTCTCCCCCTTTCCATTTCCCTTTTTTTCCTTCCTCCTCTTTTTCCATGTATCTTTTCTTTATTTCCCTTCCTTCCTCTGTATCTTTTCTTTATCCATTTCTCCATTATCTTTCTTTATTTCCTTCCTTCCTCTCATCCATGTATCTTTTTCTTTATTTTCTTTTTCCTTCCTCTTATCCATGTATCTTTTCTTTATTTCATAATCTTCCTTTTCTCATCCATGTATCTTTTCTTTATTTCCCTTCCTTTATCTTCCATCCATTTTATTTCCTTCCTTCTTTATCCATTTCTTTTTTCTTTTTCTCCTCTCTCATCCATGTATCTTTTCTTTATTTTTCTCCCCTCTTCCATGTATCTTTTTTTTTTTTCCCTCCCCCTCTTCCCATCTTTCCATGTTCCCTTCTTTTTCTTTTTTTTTCCTTCCTTCCTCCTCTTTTCCATGTATCTTTTTTCTTTATTTTTGTCTTCCTTTTCCCTCTCATCCATGTATCTTTTTCTTTATTTCCCTTCCTTCCCTCTTATCCATGTATCTTTTTCTTTCTTTCCCTTCCTTCACTCTTATCCATGTATCTTTTTCTTTATTTCCCTTCCTTCCCTCTCATCCATGTATCTTTTTCTTTATTTCCCTTCCTCCCCTCTCATCCATGTATCTTTTTCTTTCTTTCCCTTCCTCCCTCTTATCCATGTATCTTTTTCTTTCTTTCCCTTCCTTCCCTCTTATCCATGTATATTTTTTTTATTTCCCTTCCTTCCCTCTTATCAATGTATCTTTCTCTTTATTTCCTTCCTCCCCCTCTCCATGTATCTTTTTCTTTATTTCCTTCCTTTTCCCTCTTTTCCATGTATCTTTTTTTTTTATTTCCTTCTTTCCCTCTTATCCATGTATTTTTTTCTTTATTTCCTTCCCCCTCTTCCATGTATCTTTTTCTTTATTTTTTGCTTCCTTTTCTTCTTATCCATTTATTCTTTCTTTATTTCCCTCCTCTCTCTCATCCATTATTTCCTTTTCTCCCCTTTATCCATGTATCTTTTCTTTATTTCCCTTCCTTCCCTCTTATCCATGTATCTTTTTTTCTTTCCTTTTTCCTTTCCCTCTCTCTCCATGTATCTTTTCTTTATTTCCCTTCCTTTCCCCTCTCATCCATGTTTTTCTTTATTTCTTTTTTTTCTTTTCCTTCCTTCCCCCTCTCATCCATGTATCTTTTTTTTATTCCCTTCCTCCTTCCTTTTTCTTTTATCCATTTCTTTTTTCTTTATTTCCCTTCCTCCCCTCTTATCCATGTATCTTTTTCTTTATTTCCCTTCCTTCCCTCTTATCCATGTATCTTTTTCTTTATTTCCCTTCCTTCCCTCTTATCCATGTATCTTTTTCTTTATTTCCCTTCCTTCCCTCTCATCCATGTATCTTTTTCTTTCTTTCCCTTCCTTCCTCTTATCCATCTTTTCTTTATTTTTTCCTTCCCTCTCATCCATTATCTTTTTTCTTTCCATTTTTTCTTTTTTCTTTCTCTCCTCTTCCATGTCTCTTTTTCTTTTTTCCCTTCCTTCCCTCTTATCCATTTTCTTTCCTTTTCTTTATTTCCTTTTCTTTCCCCTCTTATCTTTATCTTTTCTTTATTTCCCTTTCCTCCCCTCTCATCCATGTATCTTTTCTTTCCAATTTTTTTTTCCTTCCCTCTCATCCATCTTTTCTTTATTCCCCTTCCCTCCCCATCTCTTTTCATTTATTTTTTCTTTTTTCCCTTCCTCCCTCTCATCCATGTATCTTTTTTCTTTTTATTTCCCTTCCTTCCCCTCTTATCCATGTATCTTTTCCTTTATTTTCCTTTCTTCTCCTCCATCCATATCTTTTTCTTTCTTTCCTTCCTTCCCTCTCATCCATCTCTTTTTTCTTTCCTTCCTTCCTTCTTTTCTCTTTTCCATGTTTCTTTTTTTCTTTTCTTTCCCATTCCTTTTTCTTATCCATGTATCCTTTTCTTTCTTTTTCCTTCCTTCCCTCTCATCCATGTTTCTTTTTTATTTTTTCTTCCTTTCCTCCTCATCCATGTATCTTTTCTTTCCCCTTCCTCTCTTATCCTTTTTCTTTTTCTTTATTTCCCTTCCTTCCCTCTTATCCATGTATTTTTTCTTTATTTCCTTCCTTTTCTTTCCTTTCTTTTCTTTTTTTTCCTTCCTTTCCTCTCATTTATCTTTTTCTTTCTTTCCTTTCCCTCTCATCCATGTATCTTTTTTTATTTCCTTCCTTCCTCTCATCCATGTATCTTTTCTTTATTTCCCTTCCTTCCCTTTTATCCATGTATCTTTTCTTTATTTCCCTTCCTTCCTCTCATCCATGTATCTTTTCTTTATTTCCTTCCTTGGCTCTCATCCATCTTTCTTTTCTTTTTCCCTTCCTCCCTTCCTTCCTTCCTTTCTTTTTTCTTTTCCCTTCCTCCCCTCTTCCATTTATCTTTTTCTTTTTTCCTTCCTTCCCTCTCATCCATGTATCTTTTTTCTTTATTTCCCTTCCTCTCCCCTCTCATCCATCTCTCCTTCTTTATTTCCCCTTCCTTCCCTCTCTCATCCATTTCCTCTTCTCTTTTGTATCTTTTCTTTATTTCCCTTTTCCTCATCCATCTTTTCCATTATTTCCTTCCTTCTTTCCATTTCTTTTTCTTTCTTTTCTTTTCCATTTCTTTCTTTTTTCTTTCTTTCCTTCCTTCCTTCCTTTTCTTTATCCATTCCCTCTTTTCCTTTCTTTCCTTCCTCCCCTCTTTTCCATTTCCTCTTTTCTTTTTCTTTTTCCTTCCTCCCCTCTCATCCATTTCTTCCTCTTTTTTTCTTTCCCCTTCCTTCCCTCTTATCCATGTATCTTTTCTTTATTTCCCTTCCTCCCTCTCATCCATCTTTTTTTATTTTCCTTCCTCCCTCTCTTCCATGTATCTTTTCTTTCCTTCCTTCCCTCTCATCCATTTTCTTTCTTTTTTTTTTTCCTTTTCTTCCCCTTCCTTCCTCTCATCCATCTTTCTTTTTTATTTCCCTTCCTCCTCTCATCCATGTATCTTTTTCTTTATTTCCCTTCCTTCCCTCTTATCCATGTATCTTTTTCTTTATTTCCCTTCCTCCCCTCTTATCCATGTATCTTTTCTTTATTTCCCTTCCTCCCCTCTAATCCATGTATCTTTTCTTTTTCCTTTCCCCTCCTTCCATGTCTTTTTTCTTTTTTTCCTCCATCCTCTCTTTTCTTTTTTCCTTCCTTCCTTCTCTCTCCATGTATCTTTTTTCTTTCCATGTTTTTTCTTCCTTCCCCCTCATCCATGTATCTTTTTTTTTTTTCCTTTATCCTTCCTTTTTCTTTTTTTCCCTTCATCCATGTATCTTTTTCTTTATTTCCCTTCCTTCCCTCTTATCCATGTATCTTTTTCTTTATTTCCCTTCCTCCCCTCTCATCCATGTATCTTTTTCTTTATTTCCCTTCCTTCCCTCTTATCCATGTATTTTCTTTTTCCATGTCTTTTCTTTATTCCCTTCCTCCCTCTTCCATGTATCTTTTCTTTCCCTTTCCCTTCCTTCCCTCTTTCTCCATTTCTTTTTCTTTATTTCCTTCCTTCCTCTCTTATCCATGTATCTTTTTCTTTATTTCCTTCCTTCCCTCTTATCCATGTCTCTTTTCTTTATTTCCTTCCTTCCCTCTTTTTGTTTATCCATGTTTTTCTTTTCCTTTTATTCCTCCCTCTTTCCATCCATTTTCTTTTTCTTTCCCCTTCCTTCCTCTCATCCATCTCTTTTTCTTTCTTTTCCTTCCTTCCTCTTATCCATGTATCTTTTTCTTTATTTCCCTTCTTCCCCTCTCTCATCCATGTATCTTTTTCTTTTCCATTCCTTCCTTTCTCCTCTTTCCATCCATCTTTTTTTTTTATTTCCCTTCCTTCCCTCTTATCCATGTATCTTTTTTTTCTTTCCTTCCTTCTTTCTCCATGTATCTTTTTCTTTTTTTCCTTCCTTCCCTCTTATCCATGTATCTTTTCTTTATTTCCTTCCTTCCCTCTCATCCATGTATCTTTTTCTTTCTTTCCCTTCCTTCCCTCTCATCCATGTATCTTTTTCTTTATTTCCCTTCCTCCCCTCTCATCCATTATCTTTTCTCTTTTCCTTCCTTCCCTCTTTTCCATGTATTTTTTCTTTATTTCCTTCCTTCCCTCTCATCCATGTTCTTTTCTTTTATTTCCTTCCTTCCCTCTCATCCATGTATCTTTTCTTTATTTCCTTCCCTTCCTTCCCTCTTTCCATCCTTCTTTTCTTTATTTCCTTTTCTCCCCTCTTATCTCTCTATCTTTTTTTTTTTCCTTCCTTCCTCTCATCCATGTATCTTTTCTTTATTTCCCTTCCTTCCCTCTCTTTCTTTCTTTTTTTTATTTCCCTTCCTTCCCCTCATCCATGTATCTTTTTTCTTTATTTCCTTCCTTCCTCTCATCCATGTATCTTTTTCTTTATTTCCCTCCTCCATGT